ATGCTCTATAGAGTATTTAAACGGCTTATGCTTTATAGATTTTATATATATATATATATATATATATACTTTAATTACCTTATTTCTTGTCTAAATGCATATTTTACACATTTTATTTTAATTACTCACCATTTTATGACTTTTAACATATACATCTGAAAACTAAATATATTACTTAAAGTTCTCTTTTCGTATGAAAAATTTGAAAACAGGGATCTACACACAGTCCTACGTTACATTCCTTGAACTCGTAATAACTCATTTGCCGTTTTGGAGGATTTTTCCGGGAATGTGAACAAACGAAGCATCGTCGTCTCATTTTCTTATCAGTCTCTTCTGAACAAAGTTTTGGAAAATGTCTTTCAGTTAATCTTTCAGAATCAATATCTGAAATATTTTGCATCATTTCTGCTATTTCATGCTCTGTTAAACATTTTTCGACGCTTCGACATGAAACGGTAAAAACAGAAAGAATTCATGTCTAACAAGATCTAATTATTTTCTAAAAACTGAACTGTAAACCGAAATACTCAACGCTTTAGCGCATATAAAACTTCTACTTACAATAAACAACTACCACGTGCGAATAAAGTGCGATTTAAAGAGACGTCATAAATCACGCCATTCGGAAACATTTAGTTCCCCGTTTGTTTATATAATCAAAAACACGTGTATGTGAGTCATGCTTCTCTCATTTGAAGTAGAAGCTCTAATGTACATGTATCTGAAACCATATGGACATACAGTGCCATCTTGTGGCAGAAATTATAGTTTGAAAAACGTTCCAAGGTACTGGCACAAATACGTGACATTCGGTAGAAACGCAACATTGCTCTGGCACGCCTGGGTGTCGGCCGGTAGATAAGTGCGTTCGTTGCTGGCACGTATACGTGACAGTCGGCGCGAAGGGGTTAACTTTATTGAATGACTTTGTCTTTTCGCTTTCGGGTGTGGTGTTAAAAATTAAACGCCTTTATTTTTTCTATTTTTGTTAATTTAAATTTTTCTTATTTTTATTTACTGGTTTGTACTCTTTGTAGTAGGTACCAGTAGCAAGATTACTATCCAAGATCCCGAAAAAGTATTTCAATAGAAATAGCGCATAATGGAATAAAATATAATTTTAGTTATACTTACTCATAATTTAGGTAAAAAGAATAGGTATCCGACGCCCTTAAATGTTTACTGAATGTTTTCCTTTGGTTAATTTTTTAATATTCTTTATTTGTATAAATTAATGCGCTATGGAAATTTACACAACAGAAATGATGAAAAAGTGCATATGCTATCTTCATGTAAACACCTTGTTCTTGTGAAACAATTACATACTTTTAAAAGTTTAAATTCAAATACAAATAAACTATTAATAAGATCAGTAGGTATTTAAAAGATATTCCACACAATTCCTCTAAGCTGTCATTCATAAACTAAAAAAATATCGAATGAAATAACGTTTGTTTTGCGTTAATTACCACGCCTACAGGGCGATAACTCGCCATTCCAAATATGATCGCCAAGCAGATGTTTCCTCCAATGAGAGCAGCCCGTAGAGAAATGGTCTGTAGGCTTTGTGAATATGCCCGTGGATGCCACAGTGTTTATAATTTATGTGCTGCCATTTTACAACATGAAAAACAATTGCATCACTGGGAGTGTAATGAATCATTTAAAAATGTAGACAGAAGAAAAATGGCCACACTTCCACAAGAAGACAAAAAATTTCTCTTACTTGAAATTTATATAATCTAAAAGTCAGAGATTTATGTAACCTCTAAATGAAATACTTTTCCTGAAACAAAATTTGAAAAGTTAACGAGTCTACACTTAAGAAATCCAAAAAATCAAGACATGTGAAAGTAAAAAGTCTGGAAATCCTGCTATATCAGGACCTCAATCACCCAACAGCATTGTATGGATAAACTTAGCAATGTAATATATATATATCAAGATAAAACAAAATTAAATACAAATATTAATGGATTAAAAAGTTCTTGAATATTCGTTCATAAGAAGTTCTATAAATACCTACACTAGATTCATATAATTCAGGTCAAATAAAATTCAATAAGAAACATTATGCTGAAAATCACAAAGGATGGAATTTTTAGAATTTAAGTTTCATTAATTCAATAAATCTAATTCATAGCTGGGAAACACTTTCTTTAGTAACTTGCAGTCCCTTTAATCACTTAAACATAAACGTACACAGGGTGTTTCATAAATGTGTTTATGTACAAAATCAAAGCAAAGTGCAATACAGCATTCACAATGAATGTTCAAAAAAGGGAACACTAACAGTAATAGGAACTACAGCTGTGATTGGCTGGCAGTGCAGCGGTAGAGGGCCGGACAAACCACGATCCTACATATCAGAGGATCATTCGCAACGCTGATGTCGAGTGTGATGGGCGAGTTTATGCACAGGGAAAAGCTGACATGCATCTTATGTATGGTGCTGCTAATGGGAACGGCAGAGCAGCGCTACGGTTGTACCAGGAACGGTTTCCGAACAGGCGTATGCCGAAGCACACAATGTTCGAGAGGTTGCATCGGTCTCTGTGTGAAAACGGGTCATTAGAAGCTACCTCTGACACTAGGATTGGAAGAAGAAGTGCACGAAAACCTCGCATTGAAGAATCCATCTTGAACATTGAGCATGAATCACCTCAGAAAAGTACAAAAGCTATTGCACCTTGTCTGCAGCTGAGTCATTCCACCGTTTGGAAAGTATTGCATGAAAATGGTTTGCACCCATACCGTTTGCAGAGAGTCCAAGCCTTGCAAGAAACAGATTACCCTCTTTGAGTTCATTTCTGTCATTGGTTCTTGCAGCAGTGTGCGGTGCAGGCGGATTTCCCATCGGATGTGCTATTCACTGACGAGGCAACTTTCTCACAGGACGGCATCTTCAAAAGCCACAACATGCACGTGTGGGCAACTCATAATCTACACGTCATATACTACTCATAATACTACAGTCCACATGCATTCCAAACCCACTTCTCCATGAATGTGTGGGTGGGTATTGTGCCTTTTTCTCTGCTCTAGCATAATGAAAGGGAAAGGAAAATTGGTTGCCATATATTAAGAAGTTCGCCAAGTGAATTATTCTTGGTGCAAACTAAAAAAGTTGCGGCAACATAAATATTTGAATTGCACACCAAATGTTACAAAAGTTAACATCTAGGCATAATTTGAGTCGTAGAATTGAAATATGTAAAAAAAATTGGAATATTATTTCAGAAAAAGTTCAATTTTGCATCAAAATACCTATATTAGAGCATTGCTATACATAAATCTAATATATATCCTAAGTTGCGCTTTCGAGACATGAAAAACGCAATTTGAATTCTGTCAGTCAGCCCAGTAGAGCTGGGAGATATAGAACTGTCCCCCCTTTTTTTTGTGCAGTGTACATACAGCTGTTCTTGAAAATTTTGGTTGCATTGCGATTTAGGATATCTTTCAACGATTGAAAAACTGCTTCACTGCAGAATCCGAGTTCATTACGAGCAACTCTCAAAGTTTGAAAGAAATTATATCATTGGACTGAAAAAAGCACAATGGGCAAATTGGAGAATCGCTAGTCATGCGAGTCGAAGTGATGCGGTGATTAGAAGATGCTGGTGATTAGAAGATAGGTGGACAGTGGCAGATTTCAGTGCCATGATGGTAGTGGTTGACCTAGGGCCACAATAGATCAGAACAGAGTGATTGTCAGATCAGCTGTTACAGAGACCGAGTCATCGCTATCAACCGTCAGACATGCAACCCACACACGAATGTCCACCACGACCATTCACAGACAGCTGATAGAGCGAAATCTACACTTGTACTGACTGTTACGCCACCTGCCACTCATGCTTGCACCCTGTCAAGCCAGATTACAGTGATGCTTAGCTCAATCACATTGGAATGTTACTGACTGGGGACGTATAGTCTTTAGTGACGAATCTCGCTTCCAACTGTGTTGTAACGATCACCGAAGATGTGTCTGGAGGTGCCTAGAGCAGCGTGCCGATCCTGCGTTCACTACTGCACGCCACACAGGCTCTCAACCAGGAGTTCTGGTCTGGGGTGCCATTTCCTTTGATAGCCGGACCTCTTTGGTCGTTATTAGAAACCCACTTACAGTACAGCAGTACACTGACGACATTCTGAGACCTGTTTGGCTACCGTTCCTTTTGCAGTACTCTGGCCTTATTTTTCAGCAAGATACTACCAGATCACATATGGCACGTGTTGGTATGAACTGTCTTACAGCTTGTCAAATACTTCTTTGGCCAGCCAGATTTCTCTCCCATTAAGTAGGTCTGGATTATGATAAAAAAGCGACTGCATCTACCAGGGAATGTTGATGACCTAGTCCGACAATTGGAGCAAATTTGGCAAGAAATACTGCAGGAGACCATCCAGGAGCTTTATCGGTCTATGCCACGCCATGTGGTAGCTTGCATCTAGGCTAGAGGTGGGTCAACGCCTTATTGGGCTTGTTACTTTGTAACTATGTAACTCTGAAATAAATCATTCAACTGTTCAGAAATTTTAATCATTTTCTATTCTGTACATAATCTTCATATCCACCAATTTTTGTCTTCATCAGACAACTCCTTCTTAGTGCATTTTTTTTTTTTTTTTTTGTTATAGAGTGTATTAAGATTGTTCTAAAAAAAGACACACAATCAGCATTAAATGTAAATAAATATATATACACATACACATTGATGAAAAAAATTATGTTTTCAAACATGCAAAAAATAATGTTTTCATACATAAGAAATGGTAAATTGATGATATGACAAGACATTTAATAAACATAGCACACAAAATGCTAGATTTTGTGAGTTCTTAAAACTACCATATTACCAAGCTGAATGTTATGAATATTACTGAAAGTTCTGGTCTAAATAAATTGTTTTTTGAGAAGCAAGGAGCCTCTTATCCAGCTACAATTTTTTTTTTAAATTTCTCAATTAAAATTAAATAATATATTTAAGTACCTGATTAGCAAGACCATGAAGTGGGCCAGCTAACCCATTCATACCCGCAGCAAATGAAAGATATGGATCAGACAAAGCACTTCCAACTAAATGGACAGTATGGGCACTAACATTGCCACCTTCATGATCACTGAAAATATACACAGATAGTATGAGTAAACAAACAATACGCTGCTTATTACACATAAATTCTAGTTAGACAGAACACTTTATGGAAAAGTAAAAATGCATTTTTATATCCTTCATTATTATAAGTTTAATGAAATTTCCACATACTGAACTGCTTCAGCGAATATTTTTTTTAACTTCTAGAAATGACATTAATACTTTTTATCAATATACATCAATACATTATTCTTATATTTATGTTTTACTTGAAGGACTTGAAGTTTTTTGGCTGGGCCAATTTTGCTTTACTACCATGGCATTAAGAGTGAAGCACTGCTCCCAAGCTTCGGTCTCCAGATGGGGTGTTTTTTGTTTACATTCAGAAGCTTCCTTGACAGCACTTCGATAGTATTTTGACACATGACAGTTCCACACAAATTGAAAAATGGGACATTTCCGCATAAATGAAACATTCATTGTGTGATGGATAATAGCAATTCGTATAATTTAGTGACATTTATGCAAAAATCTCACCTTGGTTATTTTACGATAACTAACAACAGCCATTTAGAGAATTTGTTTTATAAAATTCTAAGTTGTTGAACTACAAAAATATAGATTTTAGCAAAAATGTTATGCTTAAAGAATGAAAAATACCTTATGGTACCTTAAAATTGTATATGTCTTTCGTTACCCTTGACAGAGTATTTGCTACTTTTTTTTTAATGTTCCAAATGCCAAAATAATTTATTTTTTTTTTTTTTTTTGTCTTCCACATATTATTGTGACATGTACTAAAATTTTTAGAGGAGAGTCTTTATAGTTGCTCATTTTAAACTTATCATTTTATTTTTATATAACTTAAAAATAATCACTTTGGGTTTATACATTTTACTTATTTAGGTTAATTAAAAAATAAAATTACCACCAAATGCTGCAATCCTCATCAAAATTAATAAATATACACACGGATATGCCAATAAGTTAACTTTTCCTTGATTTACAACCACACATTTGTGTAAAATTATGTACAGTTCTACACAAATGTATGGAACAGAAGATGGATACATTTGCGAATTCGGCAGAAGTACCACGCGCAGTCGAGATGATGTGACCACGTGAATGTGCCACATCGTCAAGACAGCTTATTAAGAATTTGAAAATAGAGTAATTGATTGAGGTGAAAGCATTTGTGTATCCTGCCAAAAGTGGTCTGATCATGAATGGTCATGAATAAGCAAGAATTGTTCGTGTTGGAAAGCGATCTGTTAAAAGGTATTGTAAAGCAAATTCTACGAGATGCATACTTAAGAAAGTAATGAAGAAGTGTTTTAGAATATGTGTTGTTGAAATTAAGGATAAAAAAATATGATAAGTATAATTACAAGAATTATTCCTGTTACATTTTATAACTCAGTTACAAGTTTTGAATAATATTTTTTAAAAAAATCCCTTTTTTATTCTCTTTAAGAAATATTCAGAGAAAGTCAAGTAGTATTTAACGTATTTCATTATTAAAATAAAAGGTGCTTTAATTTGAAATGGACTAAATAGAACACTGATTATAAATTGACTTAGATTTTTCGATTCAAAAGATGCCTCAGAAGCTAAAAAAATCATGTCATATTTGAGAAAGTATTTTAGAAGCTCTATAAATAGAAAAGGAATAATGCATAATTTTAATATTAATAATACAATAAACTTTGATCTTAATTTTTGTAATCCTTAAGCGAATAAAATCTAATTACCTTAATTTTTTTTTCTAAAGTAATTAAGGAAAAACTTGTGAAAATATTTCATTCAAATTAAACCGTTCTGAGCAAACTGTTCTGTGATAAATATAGCATTTAATTCTGCTCAGATGAAACATTGTTCAAAAATGTATTTCTTTCATATACTGAGAGTACTCTGAAATATTGTAGAAAAAGAAAATATATGCATTTATATGTATATTTACGACGTGATTACAATATATTTACATCCGATCATGTTAAAACCCGGTACTTACATATTATCGCAACCAGGTTGGCGCGATTTGTAAGTTTGAATAAAAAGTATGAATAGAAAGAAAATGTACATTTATTAATTACAGATAATTTTTAATACAGTTTTTTTATGTTATTTTGTTTTAAAATATAAAATAGCAATTAAACCCTTCCGGTTTCGAATTTGAATATGTTGCAGAATTATTTTTTCGGCGGAAATCTTTTGGCTATTGCTTTTAGCACTGATTGAAAACCATCTTTGCCATTAACAGCTTGAGCTTGGTGCCATATAAATTCGATAAGCTACGAGTCAAGATGATGACGGGCTGTTCCTCTCTGTTTTTTGTTGCGGCATTTGCCTGAGCCCCACATGTGCTCTACATGTTGTGTGTGAACGCCCGTGTTGGGATCCACAAAGTTATATTTGTGATTAACAGTTCCATGCAGAAATCCAGCATTTTCGAACTCGCTTGTATTGTATCCTTTCCAGCAATCCGAATAAATGATGCTTCCTTCTTTGATATTTTCGCAAATTTTTTCCATGAGGGTAACGGCGCTTCTGTTAGGTACAGTAACCAAAAAAGTCTCTTTCTTTTCTCGGCAAATTCCGCCGAAAACCCATTGCTGTGGTAGTACACGTCCAGTGTTATTTTTTCTTTTTACAAATAAACTTTCGTCTAAACACGTAGGGTTGCCGTAAGTAAGGTCGCCAAATTTGGTGATTTATGTGAATTTTGGCCTGGTTGCGTTAATACGCAAGTACCCAAAACCCATTGAACTTAATGGTAAATGACCCAATGTTTCGGTCACCACGAAGGGATTGCCAGTGCTTCAAAGCAGTGTATGGGGAAAACCGGTTAGGGCCACTCCATCTTACTTCCTACTTCCATGTTTCCAATACTGAGCCAGGAGAGCACAGGCTTGCATATTATGACCCATGCTACCCTGAAGATACTCCAGCTCTCTAAAGTAGCACAAAATAAACAATTCTGTGGCTGATATAAATTCGTATGAACCATTCTTTCTCCAAACCAGAATGGCTACTCACAAATGCTATAGTCAAACCCAAGAATCAGAAATCAATGTTACCTGTCTGAAAAAAAAAAAAAAAAAAAAAAAAAAAAAAACCCTCTTCTCCTTTTCTTTCTTACCCCCCTTCCCGAGTAAAAATACTCACTTCCACAGAAAAATCTCTAATGAAATCGATTTTCTTGTCTTTCATTACCCAGAGAGGAAAAAATTGGAAACTTCTCTCCCTTGTCAATATTGGTTTATTTAAAATTTTAAAATTCATCTCTAGCCAATTGCTTAATTTGAGGACTCTTTAACCAACATGTATGGAGCAATAAATTGTCAAAACACCTGAATAGCAAAAATCTAACTCCATGGGAAAGAAATTCAAACCTCTTGTTTGCTTCCAAAATTAAGAATTTTTACACAATAGGAAAAGTCAATACTAGGTTCTTTAGCTGACTAAAAAGGCAAAAATCTTCTCGTAAATACAGTTACAAACACGGCCCAACCTTATTGAAAATTCTGTTACTTTTCATTTTTTAGAATAAATAACATTAACAAAAAGTAATTTCACCCTAACTCTTTGTAATCAGCTGCAAAGAGACGCACTAATTTCTTGAGCTCTGAGAACATCACAACTGGGACTAAGACTGTGACAAGTCCCTACCCAATTTAAACTCTTTAATAATGCAATAATATTAAACTATATACACAACATAAACCACAAACGCCACATGCAGATACTCACGTTTGTTTTTGGACACTTGTATTGTTGAAATTTATTTGCTTACTAGATATTACACTAAAATATAAATTTCAATAAAATTTTTATATATTATTTTTTATCTATATTTTAAGCCTTGCTTGTTCCAAAATAAATATATCAAAATTTTCCTTGAAATAAAATAAGGTATTCAAAAAGTGTTTAATCACTAACTCTAATGTGAACACGATTTTTTGTACCGCCTATTAAGTTACACATGCTTTTTGCTGCACTTCATTATTTATTACTCCAAATTTCATAAGAAATATATTTCTCATTCAATTAATTCAGTTCTCACTTCGCAGCAGGGCTAAAATACATAAAAACTCAAAATATCTTCATTAAAACTTATAAAATACAGAAAAATCTAAAAGACCGAGTACAGTGAAAAAGGTTAAAAAAATTTTTTCTCAAATAAAATTAAAATTTTTCATGCAAAAACAATGAATTCAGCCAGAAGGCTGGAAGATAAAAATTCCAGTGCACAAAACTGAAAGTTAAATTCTGGTGCAGAGGAAAAAGACACTGAAGTTGGCACACCAACTGACTCCACTAAGAGATTCAAATGTAAACAAATGGCGGCCTCCTTGAGACTAGCGCCACTTACTTTTTAAATTGTAGATAATTCTATAACCATACTTGCAAACCCACAACACTAAAAAACCAGGAGATTTTTCTCAATGATAAAAAGATTTTTTAAATGATAAAAATACATTTTTTTAATAATCAATGAATTTTACATAGTTACTAATTCTTAAATACAAACAGTACATTTTAAACATTACTTAAACATAATAAAATTTTAAATATACTTAAGCATTTTTATTGCTTGCATATTTTAACAAAAATAAATAATTTAATCAGTTTTTGTACAAATGCTATAACAGTTGCAGATTTTGCTGTAATGTAAATGCTTTCATTAAGGAACTTCATAATTTTATTCATAGCAATTGCCATGTAGGCTAATAAAAGTTTTTCTAATGTGCCATTACTAATATTGGATTTAAATTTAGTTTTAACTCATTTTTCTAATCTAAATTTTTCTCACACCTATTTTTAACACTGAAGTAATAATAGCATCTCCATTAATTTTAGGTATTTTAAAATTTTAGGTATTTTTAACACTGAAGTAATAATAGCATCTCCATTAATTTTAGGTATTTTAAAACTTTTAACAGAGCCTTTTATATTAACTCTAGAAGCATTTACTTCTTCTTTAAAAAATTCAAGAAATAAGTTCCATTGGTTGAGGATTCTAGA